TATTTTTTAAACACAAACGAAGTTAATATTTATAAGACATTCTTTTACAACTTGTATAATAATATACAACAGTTGGAACTAATAAGAGCACAAACATCAGAATGACAAAAAAAATAGTATCATCATTCCATATGTTAAACAAAAGTTCTAGATGGATTCCTCAACACACAAAGAGAACATTCTCAGGTAAAACAAATGTTGGTTTGGTGTAATGTCTAGCTGCTGTTTTAAACCATTAACAACCTCTCTTGAGTTCTATAGAAACAATTTAGAAAGAAGAAACAATTTTACAGAAACTGTATCAACATCACCACCATCTTGCTCCTTTCAAAGAACTCACTGAAAATGATATAAGTATCCCTTCTAAGGATTTCTATGAACTGAAGGAACTTCAGGAAAAGGAAGAACGGGAAAACTGAGGTGGAGATTTAATTAGGCCATAGCTTGTCTATGTAGAATTACTGTCCTTCTGTAGCATGCCAGCCTACAATGCTTTCATCCATAGATAGATAGATAGATAGATAGATAGATAGATAGATAGATAGAGAGAGAGATAGAGAGATAGAGAGATAGAGAGATAGAGAGATAGAGATAGATATAGCTATAGATGAGGGAATAGAAGGGGAACTCATCAAATTTGCAGATGACACTAAACTGGCAGGAATAGCCAATACCCCAGGAGACAAGAAGCTCAGGATTCAAAAAGTTCTTGACAAACTATAACAGTGGGCCCTATCCAGCAAAATGAGTTTTATTGTGGAGAAAAGCAAAGTTTTACATTTAGGCAGGAAAAATCAAAGATATAAGTTCAGATTAGGTGAGACTTGGCTCAAAAACAGTAACAGTGAGAGGGACCTGGGAGCCCTAGTGGATGATCACTTGACTATGAGCCAGCAGTGTGCCGCAGCAGCCAAAAAAGCTAATACAATCCTGGGTTCTATAAAGAGAGGCACAGAATCAAGATCACACAAAGTATTAGTACCGCCTTATAAAACCCTAGTGAGACCACACCTGGAATACTGCAACCAATTTTAGTCACCATACTACAAAAAAGATGTTGAGACCTTGGAAAAAGTTCAGAGAAGAGCAACTAAGATGATCCAAGGCCTGGAGGCTAAAACATATGAAGAACAGCTGCAGGACTTGGGTTTGGCTAGTCTAAAGAAAATAAGAAATAGGGGTGACATGATAGCAGTATTCCAGTATTTGACAGGCTGCCACAAAGAAGAGGGGGTCAAATTATTCTCCAAAGCGCCAGAGGGCAGGACAAGAAACAATGGTTGGAAACTGATCAAAAAGAGAAGCAACCTGGAATTAAGGAGAAAGTTCCTAGCAGTGAGGACAATTAACCAGTGGAACAGCTTTCCTTCAGAAATGTTGGGCGCTCCATTACTGGAGGTTTTTAAGAAGAGACTGGACAGTCACTTGTCTGAGATGGTATAGGTTTTCCTGCTTGAGCAGGGGGCTGGACTAGAAGACTTCCAAGGTCCCTTCCAGCTCTATTCTATTCAATTCAATACTAAGAACTTTCCAACAGAATAAATCCAAAGATATTTAATCAGTCAAAAATATTAATGTTATTTAATCTACTGATATGTGAGCAAATTACAGTGGGGTACAACAGCTACATGACTCTTCAACCACTCTTCAATCATTTATTTCCTTTTTTATTAGTAGCTAGTACAGACATGTCAAACACAAGGCCCGGGGGCTGGATGCGGCCCGCGAAGTGGTTTCATGTGGCCCGCGAAGCCATCCTGGAAACAGTGAGGGAACGGCCCCCACTGCCTTGGCCCAGGCCAGCTGGCTGGCCGGGAGCCAATGTACAATTTTGTGGTGGCCATCTATGCTGAAACGCATTCAGTCTCCCTCTGACTTTGCCCTGGTACCCATCAGGAACAACCTGGCTAAGGAGAGCAAGCACAGCAGCAGCAGCCTTGAGGAGGAGGTAAGTGCAGCTGGGCACCCCCTTGGGGAAGTGGGGCTGGGCTTGGTGCCACAGGTGCTCGAGGGCCAGGCTGGGCATTTGACCTCTGCTGCCCAGGGCTCCGGGCAGCCCGCACCACCATCCAGCCCCCTCCCACATGGCCTGAGAGGAACAGTGAGGCTCCTCCAGTGGACCATGCCTTGGCACTTGCCCTGGTCCCACCCCTTCTGCCAGAGACCCTCAGATCTGTCCCACTCCTGCCCAGGCCCCCATAGGCACCGTTGACGCGAACAATGACGCGAACATGCCCACCCAGGCCACACCCACTCCCTCCACGCCCATCCAGTAGGCCGCACCCACCCTGGCCACACCCACCCGGCCCCCCAAGGGCAACTGCACTGCTGATGCGGCCCTCAATGAAATTGAGTTTGACACCCCTGAGCTAGTATGTAAAAGATAAAAACAGTCAACTCCCAAATTAAAACAAATACATACAACAAAAGTGCATGTATCTTAATAGATAGCACAACATTAAAGTGTAAACATTCCACAATAATGTTATCAGGATTTAAATGAGAGTTACATCCTGTAATAATTACAATAAACTTTACAAAGAAAGTAATGGAGAGCCAGTTTGATGTAATGGTTAAAGGCACCAAGCTAGAAATCAGAAAGCCATGAGTTCTAGTCCTCCCCTAGGCACAAAGCCAACTGGGTGATCTTGGGCACTCACTCCCTCTATTAGCCCTAGGAAGGAAGCAATAGCAAACCACTGCTACAATTTTGTCAAGAAAACTGCAGTGACTTATCTAGGAAGGAGTCAACACTGATCTGAAGTCACCCTCCTCCCCCACACTACAAAGAGATGAAATCTATATTTTAAATATTTTACCATTACCTCTTTTTTAATGCATAGAGGGAAAAACAACATTTTACAATAAGTGGAAGTTTCCAAGTACCCATTAGGAAACACAATCTATTTTGTAAAACCACCAGTGCTGATGAAACTTAAACTGAGGTCCTATTAACCTCTTACAGTGATTACCAAATCAAAACTACTCCATTTTTAGTACTGTGCCAATTCTGCAGATCATCTAATGCATATCCACAAATTGTCAGTATATGCATACATTATGATTCTATATATCAGTAAGATACTAGCACTGATGATGTTACCTAGTTTGGGTAATGAAATCTTTGCAAGAAAACAACCAAGCTCAGAGAGCACTGAGGACCCGTTTATTCTGTATATGCCTTTGTATAAAATGCATAATAGTAAATATAAATTATTATAATGGCAAATAACCTATTATTATACAGCAATAAAATTATTCAAAACAATGTTTCAGTTCATGAAATACAACAGAATCAGTATTAGTTTCATATATTAAAGTCTAAAGACTGAAGTGTGTACTTGAGATATTTAAATATTTAACTGTTCAGTCTGAACTACAGGCAGTCCTTGACTTACGACCAAAACTGAGCCCAAAATTTCTGTTGCTAAGTGAGACAGTTCTTAAGTGAGTGTTTCTCCGTTTTATGGCCTTTCTTGCCACAGTTGTTACAAAGTTGTTAAGTGAATCTGGCTTCCCCATTGACTTCGCTTGTCATAAGGTTGGCAAAAGGTGATCACATCATCCTGGGTCATTGCCACCATGATAAATATGAGTCTGTTGCCAAGCATCTGAATTTTGATCACATGACCATGAGGATGCTGCAATGGTTGTAAATATGAAAAATGGTCATAAGCCACTTTTTTCAGTGGCATCATAACTTTGAATTGTCACTAAGCAAATAATTGTAAGTCGAGGAATATTGGTATAGTATAAAATATGCTATTAGTACATGGCATCTATTTTAGTACTTAATATCTAATTCACATTTCTTTTATTAAAATTACTTCAACATTCAATTAAAATATGTGCTGGTATTTAGAAGTAAAATCTCACATTTAGGCCCTTAAGTGTACAAAATTATACTTTGTCTTATACTACACAAGCTATAAACCAGTGATGGCGAACCTTTTAGAGACCGAGTGCCCAAACTGCAACCCCAAACCCACTTATGCATCGTCAAGTGCTAGGTGGGTGTGGCCCATTGGCTGGGCGTGGCCGTGGTGGTAATGGCAGATTGGGTGGGACTAAAAAGTTTAATCAATCAATTTCAACTTTGCAAGATCTTTTTTTTTCCCCGCCTAAAGCGAAAAGGTTTTATAAAACCCAGCTGAAGGCCTAGGACTGGGGCGACGGTGCGCGTGCCCACAGAGAGGGCTCTGAGTGCCACCTCTGGCACCCGTGCCATAGGTTCGCCACCACTGCTATAAACCATGAAGGGAGAATAAAGAAATGTGCAGGAATATATAATAAACAGTTATATGAGCCTGTAGAAAATTAATGAATTATTAGAACATGAATTCCAGCAATAAATTTAGCATAGCGCTCCAGTTTTAAAGACAAATAAGCTTTTTAGATTTTTTTTTTTTTTTAAGCAAACAGAAGCAGCTGCAACAGCAGGATCAGGAAGAAAACAGTAAGTGCAAGATCTCTAAAGCAGAATGGAGAAAAAGAACAGCTTGAACTCTGAACAAACTTCGCAGACTTTGCTCTATATAAGGCCAAAATCTATTCAGTTCCTCTTTTATCCCCAACCTACCGGAATAACAATTGTTTTTAACCTTTATAACCATCAAAAGAAATGTGAAAATGCGGATACTTTTAGACCGGACCAAATGAGCGCTTAATCATATCAAGTGCACTTCACTTCTCGAAACCAGTGAAAACAGTGAAATGTTTAGGCAAGACCCGTCCGACAAAGCGTTTGAAAGGAAAAGCTGTCTCCCCCTTTTTTTTTGTTTTCCTTGACAGAAAAGGAGATTAAAAGGTGGGAAAGAGCGCGGAGAAGTTTCTCTCCCAGAGTGAGCGCGGCACGAAGAAGGCACCAAAAGGAGACTACGGGGCTCCACCAGCCGCCCACTCGAGAAAGGCCCGGGAAAGTCACCCACCCCCCACCCCGGCACCTGTAGCCCCAGGCCAAGCGCGCCTCGGCGCCTCGTGCAGCCGGGGGAATTAATTACCTTTGAGCTGGGGCAGCGGGAAAAGCTCCACCTGGCTGCTCTGGCTGCGGAACTGCGACGAGCCCTGCGACCGCTTCTGTTTCTGAGCCTTGCGCACCGACCTCCGAGTGAAGCCGTCCACTTTTTCCGCGGCGGTGATCGCCGTCGACATGGCGGGGCTCGCAAGAGACAACAGGCGGGCCCGTTTCTTCCTTGAAGCATAAAATCCACTCCGGAAACTGAAAGCAAAAAAAAAAAAAGCAGCGGCGACGCGCTTGGGTCGCCCCTAATGGAACATCTCTCCCCCCTCCTTCGCCCCAGGGAAGGAGGAAAGGAGACGCTTAAGCCGGTGCCCGAAAGGCGAATAGGGGTCCCAACTTGGGAGATTCCTGGGGGAGGCGGGCGAAGCCTCCAGGGCACGGGCTTCCGATTCGACGGGAGGCTGTTAATCCGATGCTGTCGGCAAAGGGAGGCTCCAAATCCGAGGCTCTCGAAGAAAAAGACCACGCGGCGTCAGGCAGATTTCCCCAGGACGGAGCCGCCGAGCTGCAACAAGAATCCGGGGGGGAAAGTTTCTATTTCGCCCCGCAGTTGCACCGCCTCGCCTTCGCTGCCTGCCTGCCCGCCCGCGAGCAGCAAACTTTAGCAAGCGGCGCGCGCGGAATCGGCGTGGGGCTGGTCTCTCAGAGGTCACCCGTGTCGCCCTGCCCGGAGCTCGCGGGGATGAGCCGGAGCTTAACAAAGAGCTGGGGGAGAAGCCGCGGAGAGGCCGGGCGGTGCAGCCCCTCAGCCCCCATCGGGAGCTCCTTCGGATTCTCGGGCCAACATCCCGCCGCGCTGCTTTCTTCCTGCTCGGGAGACGCCGCTTCCTCTTTCCTGGAGCCCCGGCGGCCAGGCGCGGCGCAACGTAACCGCGCACAGGGCGAAACTCCCACTCCAGAACCAGCGCACGACCTGCTGGAAACGCTCGAGCAACAAGGACAAGAAGAGTTCCGACTCTGGAGCGGAGGCGGGGCCAGAAGCAGAGCCTGAACTCGGAAAAGGGGAGGGGATTAACAAGGGGGGGGGAAAAGGAAGCGGTTGGAACGACCGTTAGAGGTGGGCCGGGCGACCGACGATTGACAAGCGCAAGCGACCAATTGAAAAACGCGAGGTTTTTCCGAATTACCACAAGAAGGCGGAACAACAGAAAGCAGCCGGCTTTACAGGAGACTGACAGCAGAACGGCCCAACGGGAGCAGACGGAGGATGGGTGTCGCAAGAGGAAAGCGATTGGGTCCTGAAGCAGCGGGGGGCGGGAAGAGCGGGATGATGCCAAGCCAGGGGTGGGGGGGGGGCAGAGGTTGTTTTCAGTGCCTTTTGGAAAGGAGCCGCTTCGGTGAGATTCCTCGGCGATTGTTGAGCGTGCTGTGGAATGCTCTCTCCTCCGAACCTTCCCTTGTTTCGCAATGGGCCCTTTTGCGACCCTGCACCGGCTGCCTCCGGCTATTATACGGCGATCCAGTTCACGTGTCATCTTCGCCCGCTTTGCGAGTTTAGTCGGGGCGCCGAGTTTAAGGGTGCGGGAGACCAGACTTTGGAGCGGTGTTCCTCTAGCTCAGAACTGTGGACTTCAACTCCCAGAATTCCCCAGCTGAAGATCGTTGGACTGAATTGACGTCCACGCGGTGCAAAGGCTCTTGTGAGATTGAGAAATACTGATACTAATAACCGCTTGGGTTATTGAGTAAACTACCGTCTAGTTCGCTTAAAGCTGGCTCAATGCCCCTTGCGAGCTCTGCCAGGGTTACCTTTCCTCTGACTTCGCCGAATTTCTCTGCTTCCAAAGATTCAAAGTGAAAAGCAAGAAAGGGGTAAGACTACCGTATCTGGGCTCCAAAAGGACGATCGTGCAAACTCCACGCTACCATGTAGCACAGTGTTTCTCAACCTTGACAATTTTAAGGCATGTGGACTTCAACTCCCAGAATTCCCCAGCCAGCATTGCTGGCTGTGGAATTCTGGGAGTTGAAGTCCACATGCCTTAAAATTGTCAAGGTTGAGAAACACTGATGTAGCAGCCTAAAACATGGAGAAGAAAAGAGGGAAACAGAAACCAGCCCTCTGAATGTTCTACAGTAGAACTGTAATGGCAAAGAGCTAAATTTGTTATGCAATCGTAGGTGTCCGCCAAGGGGATTAAATAACAAAACCTAAACAATGTGATTATTTTTCCGTTTTTAATCCCAAAGTACAGATTTGGGAAGCTGTAGGCATCTTGGAATTGGCTTTTGCAAACCCTATAAATAAATCAGCATTGACATAATCATGCAAGTGTCATACATATTTGTATCAGATACTAAGATGTATCTTTGATGGCATTTGTGTGATGACGTTGCCATGCGCACGATGTCTTTGTAGCTTGCTGTGGTTTATTTCTGGCAAGCTTGCCTGACATTTATTGAGATCTGGTCTCACACTCCATTCAGTGTCATAAATGATGGGATGGTTCCACGCTGCTAATCTTGGCTGAGAATTGTTGAAAGATATAATCTCAACCCATATTATTTGCAGCAAGTGAAAGATAAAATTCCTGCAGAGCCAGTAAAATATATCATGAATTTAGAAAATATATCTTGCTGTATATGTTTAATTTATTTTAGATTCTAACTTGGGCTATATCAATTAAGAACACAAGATCAGGATTATATCCTGCTGTTCAATATATCACAATGAAGTTGCACTAATGGAACACGTCTTAATGTAACTTTCCAAAACTGAAAAGGCTGTACAGTATCTCTTTAAGTCAATTCATTAATTTTGCCAGGGTTTTTATGCTAAATCTTCAAGTTTCACCTTGAAGAAATGACTATAGCAAAAGGTCAGTGCCATCTTGTCAAGGGATTTAGTCTGAAAATTATGTAGATCCACTAAATATCTCAAACTTAATTGGCATTAATCTTAATAGTTTTGCTTTGTTTTCCTCTTAATTTACCCCAATTTACTGGTGAAATTCAGTCCGTTTTTGTCATGAGAGTTTCCCTGCTCTTTTTAGTGGGAATCTTATCTAAAATTTCTGCTTAGTGATTTCTCAAGCCTGTGTGAACACTGACACCACTTCCCAGCAGTTCTTAAAAGGAGCACAGTGGGTCATGTGATTAAAATGCTGAGTTGATAATGTGCAAGCCCGCATTCGAGATCTGAGTGCTGCTGCGTGACAGGGTGAGCTCCCATCATTTGCTCTAGCTCAGGGGTGTCAAACTGCCGGCCCACGGGCCGGACACATCATCTGGAAGCCACGCCCACCCCATTGCTAGCAATGGCAAAACCGTCCTGATATGTTGCGCGACGTCATGAGACATCGCGAGTTTGACATGTCTGCTCTAGCTCCTGCCCATCTAGCAGTTCGAAAGCATGCAAACTCAAGTAGATAAATAGTACCACTTTAGTGGGCACATTAATGGGAATGTGAAAGGAACCCTCAACTGGGCATCCCCCGGGCAATGGTGGTGTCACTGACTATTCCTTTCGCCCTAGAAGCGCCTTGGTGCTTCCAACATGGATGGGATGGGATAGCAGTTCTTGCAGAGCTAAACTAGGAGAACTCAGGATTTGTCAGATGGGAAAGATCAGGTCCACACATGAAGGTCCAATTATATTGATGTAATGCTATTCACACCTATGCACAGGAATATTCTGAACTAATGGTTAGCACCTGCTATTGGATAAGGATCAATGAAATTCAAGGGGGAGGGGTGGACTTAGGTTGATTGTGGCTGTGTAGAGATTCTAAGTTGATCCCTTTTTTGATTCTGCCCCCAGGTTCCGCCTCTCCGTATCTTACAGGTTTCTGGAAAAGATTTCTCTGCTTGCTAACAATTGGAAATGACTTGAGGACACATAATATTTGCCCTAGCAGTGAGATTGTGCAGGAGATTTATTTATTTGTGTACTGTAAAATGATCTCCATGACAATGTGGTTTATTTATTAAATGGATATCTGGAAAATGGTATCTTCCCATACTACCATTTTTTATTTCTTTTTAGAAGAATTAAGAATGTTAGATTAAGTATCACAATGCTGAATCAGAGATAGAGAGTAATTTAAAGCAAAGCCCATTTCATTTAGTAAATAGTGTTGCATATCAAGGTCTCCACAAATATCTTCCCTATATAGCTAGCAAGGCCTTTAGCAAACTGGTGAAAGGCTGTAGAAACCATTGTCCTGTGTACTACTTCTCTGAGTGCAGTTGCTGCAGTCAGCTTCAACTATAATCCAGAATAGAGCATAGGAGGAATTGCTTGGTGAACTGTTGTGATCTGTATCTCGATATACAGTCTGTATAAATCAAATTGTAACTGTCTGGTGCTCTTTATATTTCTCAAAAGGTCTAGTTCATCTGATGGTTCGAAGAATGTATTTATATAAATAACACAATCCAAATAACACAATCCTTTTGAGAAGATATGTTTGGAAATGCACATGGTGAAAGTGAGTTTTTTAGAAAAATGTTTTAAATGTTGATTGTGCTTATTTTTAGAATATCCTAGAATGGCTTTCCAACTTTTTTTTAATTTGTTGTTGGTTTTGTCCTGGTTTAGTTTTTCTTTTGAACATTGTAATTTTGTTATGTTTTGTATTGATACTTTGTTTCTTCAATGAAAGGAAAGATCTGTGCTAACACAATACAGACATTAAATGCAGATAGTACTATGGGTCTGAAACAGATGGTTTTGCCCTTTCTTTATCTTAACACAGGAATGGCACTTCACATACTATTGGTGAAATTCGTATTATTTCTGAGAACTAGTTCATAAAAGTCAAAGACTACAGAGTCTGGGCTGTTGATTTGTTCTCCGGGCTTTCATCTCCGTTTCGGGGGGACATCTTCAGTGCAATTTGAATTGTGTTCGGTTTGTTTGGAATGGTGAAGTAACTCTCTCACTGTCAGTGGTTGGTAGGAGAGGTCAATATCAATGTGTCTGTTCACTGATTGGTTGGTGGAGAACCAGGCCTTAAGGAATTCTCTTTCTCTCCTTGACTTTGCTTGGGTTATAATTGCGGTCCTGGTTAGATCAAACTTGTGTCCTTCCGAATCCTCGTGGACAGGCATGAAGGACAATGGGTCATGTCTTTTGATAGCCAGGGAGTGCTTGTGCAGTCTGGTAGATACCGTTTTTCCTGTTTGGCCCACATAGTTCTTTTCACAGTTGTTGCACTGGATTTGGTATATGACCAAACCAACAGCCCAGCTACCAACCTGAGCTACTAG